ATATTTCCTGATGTGCATGTGTATGGCAGCATAATGCCTTTCAAATTGTAGTTTTTGAAAACTGTCACATTTTCTTCATAGCTTAAGTATAATGCCTTGATATTTACCTCAATAAAAATTTTTGTTTCTTTGAACACGCTTCCTACATTTGTAATTTTTCGTTCCTATTAGATGCTATTGAAATCAACAAAAAGAATTTAATATATAAGCAACAACTTATTTGGGTTACATTAATTATAATGCAAGTATAAAAGTATGATCAAAAATTTTTTTATGTATTTATTTTGCTTCCTACACTTAAAAATATGTAAATTTATTAATTTTTTTAAAGGCTATCAAAACTGCTTTTGATGCTATGAAAATGATTACATTAGTAGATGGACAAAGCAGAGTTTAAGAATAAAAAATTTATTCATTTGGCTTAATCACAATAAATGTCTATCATCAGAGAACATGTAAGTAGGTGAAAATGAAGTGACATCCATTTGCCGTAAAAGCATCGCTTTGTAATTGAGCTCAAAGCATACTTTCAGCTTAATGACTTAAGGTGTCATATCATGGCTGCAGAGGACTCAGGTAGATGTGCAGCAATGAAGATCAACTTTTGCTCACAATGTTATCCATTTGCATGACTATGGGATAAAAACAAACATGCTGATAAATCATTCTCCAAGAAACACAAATAAAAAAGTGATCCTAAAATAACTTTTAGGCCCGGTGGCTAGCGCATCGCGCAGCAGTACCACCGCTCTTTCATCCCTTAGGTCGATAAAATGAGTACCAAGTTCACTTGGGGACAAAATACTGGGGGTCCTGCGACCACGCTGACCACTTGTTCTAGGCTTATGCTTATGCACCCTGGGGCCCACGGTCAAGAAAGCAGATTTCGGGGCACTGCTGGCCTTGGCCCACTAGGGCTGTTGCGCCACTTAGTTTAGTTTCAAATAACTTTTATTTACATCATCCAGTAAATGATTTTGTAAGGTACACTGATAGCTAAATGAATTTGATAATGTATTTAGGTCTTTATTTTAAATTGGGTAATGTAATTTTTATTCTGATGCATGTGCATATAGGTTAACTGAGACATCAAGTAATTGTGAGGCTTAAATTAAGGCTCCAAGAATCAGAGCCTTTCTTAAACAATCTTCGTCATTTTTTTATTTATGTAACCTCGTCTAATGTTCCATAGCTTTTTATTTTCCATGCGTAAAACACTTAAATATTATTTTTTCTCCTAAGATATCACAAAAATACAATAAAAAATATGGTCCAGAAACACAATATGTGTTGCACTGCATATGTTTAAGTCAGTTTGAAAAATAAACTTGTCCATATAAAATTTAAAAGTAAAAGAAAAAAGGAATCCTAGCTTCGCTTAAAGTTTGGATTTAAAATCTTTGCCAAAGTAAAGTTGCTTTTTTGTGTAACTTTAAACATAAGCATAAGTACTTGAGGTTATATTTCAAGCATGCAGACTGTTTTTAAATCTTTATATTGCCTAAGTACCTTAAAGTTGTTAGTTCATGTATTTAAATATATATTTATGTGGTAACTTTAACTTTCAAATGTCAACAGTGCTAGAGTACTCTTCATGGCTTGGCAATAAACCATTTCTAACTGGGTGATGCTGACAGGAAAAGAATCAAATTCTATGCAGGAAAGGGTGCAGTTTTGCTTTTGCCAGTCAGTCAGTTAAACTGACACTAAAGCACAGTAATTATTTGTAATAATAATTTTAAGGTGTGGGCAGGTGTTGTTGCTGTGCTACCTTCTTTCTCTAGTTACATACATTGATTTGTTATGAAGAATGGTGTTTGAGGTATTGATGGTGATGTTTGCCAATAGATAATATTGTGAATAAAAATTGATCTTCATTGCTGCATAGCTAGTATGAGATCTGTTTCTGGATTCTCTGTACCCATAACTGGACACCTCAAGCAATCCAGCTAAAAGTGCTTTGAGCTCAAATACTGAACATATCTCTTATGGTAGCTTTAGCGCAGATCGTAGGCCTTTTAATTTAATCATTACTTTTATTTAGAATTTTTATGGTGAAAAATGTATTTTGAATATAAAGTAATAAGCTTAAGTACCACAATATTCAGAGCATTCTGTAAGTAGTAAATTAAGTATTTCTTAACCAGTAACCCCCCCCCCCCGATTCTCTAATGAAACAAACAAGTGAACGTGTAAATTCGCCACAGTCTGAAACATACTGGCATACTGGAAGAATTAAAAAGCAGAGAAAAAAGCCAGCTTTAAAGTTGTATATACATTTTGAAATTCGGTGATAAGATTAAACAAATATTAAATAAAGATTAAATGATGGTGGATCAATTAAAATATAGTTTAAATTTTGTGCAGCTTTACTAAAACATGATAGTAAATTGCAACACAATCAGTGCTGAACAACGATTTCTCTTTGACTTGATCAGCTTGACAGGTGCCTTTCCTAATGCAAAATTCTGGGCAGTAATAATGTATGAAAAGAATTTAAATAAAAATTTCAGGAAAAAAGTGAAGCAGTAAAGTTGGTAGAAATATAACCAATTTATAAAAAATGACTGTTCAGTCAGTTAGAAAATTACTAGTGATGCCTATAAAATTTTTTTCTCGCTTTTTACTTCCTTGTACGAAGTAAAAAGGAAGTATTGTAATCACAAAAAGTTTCAGGCAGCATATTTCAACGAAAGTATCCCATTTTGACCTCTTTCAAAAGCAATTTAAAGATGTATTTCTGTGATATATGTACGTAAGGACAGAATAAAACACTCTTTTCCTCCAAAAAAATTATAAAACTGCTTTAAAATGAATTCTGAAGAGAATTTTTCGTGGAGTCTGTACGAACGTACGTACGTATCTCGCATAACTCAAAAACGAGTAGCCTCAGAATGTTGAAATTTTGTATATAGGACTGCTATAACATGTAGATGTGCACCTCATATTTTGGTTGCCATTGGCCACACTAAACGTATATAAATACATTTATATATAAATCCACTCTGTTACCCGGCTCAGTGATCTCAGTTTCTTTAGCCTTATATGTTTGTAAATTGTACATTTTTTGCTTTAAAAATGATTGTGTTATGTTGATTTTATCTTCCGGTTAAGGTTTTTATGCCTCTGGTAAATCTGTGTGCAATATTTTTAGAATTATCAACAATTTTAAAGTTGTCTTAAGTGCCGCTAAGCCTTTTTTTTATATGGCGGCCATTGATGTTTACATTTGAAACAGGAGACTGGTGGATTTGTTGCCAATCTAGAGAAACTAGGCTTCGCAACAACAAACATAACGCCTTCATTTATTATTTAAATCATGCTTAATCCTTTCTGGAATTTTTTCAAGGAAATAAGCATCTTAAGCAAATCTTAAGATTTACTTCGTAATTTTTAATACAGATATTTTGAGTTTTTATGTATTTTTGCCTTGTCGCAAAGTGAAAACTGAATTAATTGAATGAGAAATACTCAATCGTCTGTGAAAAACTGTTTCTTTTTGTTTTGTTTGCTTAATTTCTTTTGTACATCGTTCTAGCTTTGTTATAGTATTTGAATAGAACATGTGGCAACGATTAGATAATTCTTTAAATGATATAAATTTTGTGCATTCTGAGTTATAATATGAATGAAATATAATACTGTTAAGTGAACTTAGCGCCAGAGTGTCGCTATGGTAAACAAAGTGAATTTTAAAGAATGCATTTATTCTATAAGTGGTTTATGCGCTGTCGGCGAAGTAGGTTTAATTCAATCTAATAAGTTTAAATGAAATGCAAGAAAAAATGCGTATAATTTAATATTCCGTACAAGGAAGTCATGTGGTGTACACATCAGATTTTTTTTAATCTGTTGTAACCAAGTTATTGTTTGATGACATTTAACCTGGGGTAGATGTTTACTCTCCATGTATACTAACATTTCTCAAATACATGCATATTCTTAAGGATTGAATTTAAAGTATCTATGCTAAACAGATAGCTGGTAATAAACACAGCTTGATGTTTAGGGGTAAAATTCGATGGCCAAGTTTGAAAATGATGTACAAATAGATCATGGATATACATCACTCGTATAATGTTGAATTTAAAAAAAAATCTGTGATTTCCAAGGCCATGGATGACATTGATTATGATCTAATCTAGCAAAATTTAATATATAGTGTCAGAGAAGAACAGCAACACATCAAATCATGAAAAATTAGATGTTTAGTATTTTGATTTAAAGTTGTAAACGGCAAATTTAATTTTTTAGTTTTAAGTGTTTGTTTAGTATTTATATATTGTGTCAAAAGTCAGTCATTCACTTTTAAAAAATTGTTCATTCATTTATTTTTTAGTGTATTATTTACATGACGTTTACAAGAAAAAATTCAGATTATTATAAATCTTAAAATAATAAATCTGTCTTTAATTCATCACTTTTTTATTTATCAAAATATGAATCAATACCAATGTAGCTCAATCTCTAGCAAATCACTTTTTAGCGCACTTGATTTAATAGAAAAAGGCAACAATCTGATATACTTCTAGTTTAAAGTTCTGTTGCTCATACATACAAATCTGGTATAATTTTAAGTGTAAAGTTTGCTAAATGTAATCAATACAGCACATTTTAAAATTTAAGGTTGGGTATCTAAATGAGGATAACAAAGATATGTATTAGTTGTATGCACATGTAAACAGTGAACAAAATAACATGATTCAGCAAGAGAAACAAGAATCACGGTAAACAATTTGTGCAAAATTTTAGTCCTTTCATATTGAGTTTTGCTAACAGGATACTACACAACATTCTGTTGTTATCTCTGCAGTTGAAACATTGGTTGGGTTGCATATGGCTTGCAGGCTGATGCTGACTATCCCTTGTTTAAGGAAAGTATTTTCTATATTTACAAGTGACTATTTTTTATAAATACATTTTAATACTTTATTGCAAGTTATATGTTCATCCCTGTTGAAAAATAGTTAATCCAGTTTTTACTTTTTTTCTTCATACAGCTTTTCATAAAGGAGTTAGACATAGTTTAGAAAATCGTCATTTACGAGATATGTTAGAATACTTAGATTCTGCCCAAGATCCAGCACAAGCCATAGAAGAAGCAATGAAAGAACCAATATTTTTAGAATTTGTTAATCACTGTCTTCATGTTGTTGAAGATGATTGACTATGTTGATTCATTTGTACGTAAAAATGTAAATAGTTAAAATATATTTAAAAAGTAAATATGTTATTATAAGTATTTACTTAGCTTTTTTTCCCACTTCGACAAAAATTTAGATCAAATTTGGAAAGTACGAGCGTTGGAACTTTAATAGTGGCAACACAGCTGAAAAAATGCTATGCAACAAAACCAAAGAATATCGCGTATACCACACTTGAACTACATACCTACCTTACGTCTCAGCAAAAAGACTCGCCCTGCCTACGTCACGCGCATGCGGAGTGACGCAAAAAATGGATCCTTGCATTAGCTCGCGGTCTAAAGTAAGTATTGTCAGGATGTTTTCAAAACAAGAACAACGATGTTGGATAAAAATTGAATGTGCCAGAGGTCGTACAGCACGACAGTGTCATCAAGGGCTTCAAGAGGCTTGCGGGGAATCTGCATTGCCTTACAGAACCGTAGCAAGATGGGTGAAAGCATTCAATGAAGGATGCTAAAACGTGGCAGACATGCTGCAGCCAGGTCATCCGAGTGTCAGCAATGCAGACGTGCAAGCTGTTGCCGCACTAATGGACTGTGATCATCACCAAATGATTCGTCAGCTGGCCGGACAAACAGGATTAGCGCATACGACTGTGCCGCACATTCTGAAGAAACGCCTGTCCATGAGAAAAATTGCTTCACAATGGGTTCCACATCAGTTGACGGAAATACAGAAATGGCTACGATACGATGCTGCCCAATCCCATCTGGAGCAGTATGAGCGCGAAGGAGATGCTTTTTTACGCCGTATCATTTCGCTGGATGAGACTTGGGCCCGATCTTACCAGCCAGAACTGAAACGCCAATCAAACGAATATTGTCATCACGGGTCACCACGACGGTCGAAATTTCATCAGAACCCCAGCAGTGTGAAAGTTATGGTGATTCTCATGTACGACTGTGATGGTGTCATCCTAACGCATACCGTTCCCACACAGCAGACCGTCACTGCGCAGTATTACTGCTCATTTTTGGAGCACAATCTCCGGCCAGCTTTGAGAAAAAAACGGCGACACTTTCTGCAGAACACTCCTCTTATTTTGAATGACAATGCTCGGCCCCATGCAGCGCAAGCTATGACTGATTTGTTCAAGCGATTGGGTTGGGAAGTGCTTTACCATCCACCATACTCCCCAGATCTAAGCCTTTGTGACTATGACTTAATTCCTAAGATGAAGGAACCACTTCATGGCATTTGCTTCCAAACTGTTCCTGAGATTCTTGCGGCAGTAGACCGGTCCATTCAAACTATCAACAAATCAGGCGCTGCTACAGGTATTCTGCGACTTCCACATCGTTGGAAACGGGTTGTACACAATGCTGGCAACTATATTGAAGGACTGTAAAACATGGTGACATGAATCACTTTTGTATTCCTTGTAAATAAATAGTTGCCACTATTAAAGTTTCAACCCTCATATTTTAAAAACACAGTGAATTGAGATTTTTACAGTGCCTGAGTTAAAAATTGAATCATCTTCTAGAAAAGGAAAGGGGAAAGCTGTACAGAATTGTTTTAAAGAAAGTAACCCTTACAAATACAAAATATTGTGTCTTAAAAGTACCCCTTGTTTTGAAAATATGTTCATTCACGAGTGGTAGAACTGTCTTTCTAGTTATTAAGCTTACTCAGATGTTTTCCTGAAATCACATAATGAAAATATCATTGTACCCGCTGTAATTTTCGAATTGTAGAAAACTAAATGTTGAAAACTTTATCACTGTAAATAATTTATTCATTTAAAATTATATAATAAGCAATTAGGTGAAAGAATCCAAAACATGCAAAATGCTTCTTCCTGAAAAATAACTATAATTCACCATCTTTACTTCTCGGTTTTAACAGGGTAATTGCATCCTATTTCTGGTACTTGCGGAATTATTTGTTACAACAATTTCACTTAATTATTCAGCACATTTTAAAATGTATTTTTGAATAAATAAAATACAACTTAAAAGAAATCACAGCATGTTAATATAGCAATAGACTACACTGCTCTTTCTTATAGTACAGTAATTACAAAAGATGATGTTTCCACTTATGAATCAATCTGTAATCTAGTGAACGTATTGTTACTCATATATAAACACTATGAAAGAAACTACTTTTTTTTTTTTTTTTTTTTTTTGTTAAATTTCTTTGATAAAATTTGCAAGCCTTTTTTAATAACTGTTCATAAAACAATTTTAATGTGCAGATTCGTTTCTTCAATTAAATTTGGTTTAATTTGTTTAATTATTCTGCTATTAATTCACATTAAATTTCAGTTTGCTGCTTTTAATAATTGACTTGAATTTCAGTTCTCATCATTGAGATTTTTTTAAAAGTTACTTGGTTGTAATTTCATTTTTTTTTTTTTAAATCTTAAAATACAAGATGGCCATTGATTTACTGAGTGAATTTTATAGGAGAGCTGTAAATGATGTACAGAGCATATGAATTTATATTATACAGTATAAAGTCTGAGATCCGGACTCGTTAGGACTTGGGTGATTTCAGATTTGGGATCATCAGTTTAAAATTAGTAAGATAACATGTAGAAAAGTGTGTGTGTGATTATGGCAAAGCCTCGAGGGCTATCTGCCTAAGAGGAGGGATGCCTTTGTGGAGGACTTTCTAAGGGGAACTGGCTCATATACACGTTACACATAGGGAAAAACACGAAAACACCCATGCAGCCAGCCTGTTCGCGGGATTCGAACTTCGGACTGAACTACCAGTGTTCAGCGACTTTACCGCTCGGCCGCTGGTAGGCCCTTATAACATGTAGAAATTACAGTTTATGAAATAATAAAACATTTATTACCTTAAAAAATCAAAGTTAAAAGAAAAAAAATGGCTCAAATTTCTCCCACCCCTTCTTAATAGTTTTCTTCAGTATAAGTTGCTTCATTTTTTACTAATACTTTCTCTTTAATTGTATAGATATACATAATTTCTTGTTCAGTTACAAAGTTCCATTGTTTAAGTCCTGTAATTGTCATGTTGAGAATTCCTACTAAACTGTTACTTTAAATGTTTTGTTTCTTAACAATCTCTCTGTTGCATGCTTCATTATTAGTAGTGATATTTTCTGGATTTCACCATCCATTAGTTGAGTGGTGCATTGTCATCACATTGGAAAACTTGTGTTAAATCAACCTTATTTATTACCATTTCCACATATTTCTTCACAAATTCCAATGCTGGAAAATTTCGCTTTTTGCTTCGATATCTGAAAAGTTTCAAATTCACAGCTATCGTCATAAAGCTTTTAGCTAGCATCTACTTACTATACGGTATTGGTGATAAGCTATATCATGAGATTGTCGACTAATGGCGTGTTGTTCCACTCAATTTAGCTTGTTTCTATCGCATACTGTCAAAGTTAAGTTTGAATTATATTAGTTTAGTTATTTATTATACAGATGTTTATTTCCTGCACATGCTTTAAGTACCAAATCTTAGTGCTTCTCTCAGTCCCAAATAAATTCCCACAAATATTTAAGACTTATCCAGGACAGTCCTAGACATTTTGGGGCCTAGTGCAGTCTTTTCATGTCCTAAATTCTGCTGCCAAGTGCCTAAATCCTAAAAATTTTGCATCCTAGTGCCTTCCCTAAGGATTTTTGTCATCTCTTCATTTTATTGCTTGGTGCTTCTCTAAATTCTAAAAATTTTGCCTCTGCTGGTACCAGGCCTGTGCTTATCTGAATATCAGATCAGTTATTCTCAATTCTAACAGCACTAAATGTAATCTTTTGCCAATGATGATCATTTACAGAATCTATTTTTTGCTTATGGGAAAAAAATTCTGTTAAATTTCTCCTCATCAACACACTCAATACTTAGCAAAGTTAGCTGAAGTCGGTAATCATTGTCAGGCATGATATCAACATAAAAGTTTACCATGTCTTTGATATTTAATTACTAATATAAAAAAATATTAGACATTAGTGGGAATCATTTCTCAAGCTGTCATCTGTTGATAGTCATGTGGTAATTAAAGCAATAATTAAATAATGATTCTCCAAGTTGGCATCAGGGATATAAATTATTCAGTAGGTGTACAAATAAAATGGCACTTAGGAACCAAATTATTGATTGTACTGATTTATGCTAAAAAATTATTTTTTTCTTCAATATGGAGGTATTTCATTTAATGCTAAAGAGAAATTAAGAAAAGGTGCTATACATTTTATTATGAAATATTAAATGCACATGCATAAAGCGTATAAAAAAATTTCTTTAAAAAAAATTGTTGCTAGAGGTTCAGATTTTACATCATTCTGGATATTTGATGTCCGGAACTTTGGACTGAATATCAAATTATGCAACAACTTGTTTTTTTAATTCTTGTACTAAATTTTAAACCCCCTTTTCTGGCATGTGCAACATTCTACTTGAAATTTAATTTTTTGCATGTGTTTTTGAACATTTTGGGTATTACTGGTATAATAAGATCCATAATTTATAAGCAGTAAAATTTATGAAAGAAAAGTTTATATTGAAGGAAATGTTTTATATGCACAAATATCTTAGCAGAAGCTTATATATTATGCAAAAATCTGTGTCTAATCTAATTAAAATACAAAGAAATAAATACAAATTCAGAAAACACTATAAGACTGTAATGTACATAAATTTTTATCACTTTTTATTACAACATTTCTGTTTCTAATTTTTAAAAAAAAGTTTTTTTTAACATTTCTTAAAAATGAATCCTTTTCTATAATCCATAATAATAAAATATTTGTCTAAAAAGGCTGTTTTGCTAATTTTTAGTTTTCTAGTTGCAACACATACTGGAATATAAGATATTACATATGAGACATTGAAACTTGTAGTTTTGACATTGTGACTTATAGTTTTAAGAGCATGATTAAAGAAAGATATTCAGCATTATTGGCTCATGTCATGATCTAGAGCTCATGTCTATCTACAGATGTGATGAGAAGGAGACATTATTTCCTAGAAATGTATTTTCTCAAAACTAGTTTAGAGGCAGGTATAAATCTGCCCTGTCTATAATTTTTTATGATGCTGGAGGAAAAGTTTCACTTAATGCTGTGTTTTCTGTAGATCTGCCAATCAGAAAGAAGGATAGATAACAGAACTTAACTACATAAAATTATTGGAAGCTAAGTTTCCTTTAAAAGCTGTATTCAACAAGGTATTGAGAAAATTTGTAGTCTGTCTGCTCTGATATCTGTTTAAGGTTACCATCTCCATAGAAAACTCAAATTATCTGGAACTGAAGCGGTTGTTTTAGAGAAGTTTCACCTTAATTTTTCATTCAGAAAATGAATATGCTAGCAAAACCTCCCTTTTCCTAGATAAGTTCCAATATTAGAGTGTAATGTGAACCTGCCACAGTATACACACATCTTCTAGTAATAGTATTTAAATCTCTTTGGTTCAAAATATATTTTTTAGAGATTTTCAGTTGTTAACATATAAAAAGAAGCTTGATACCATTTTAGAGATTTCAGTTATAAAAATTAGACTGGTGAGTTATATTACATTTCAATGCATTTTTAGTACATATTAGTGTATCTTTTCAAATAGATCATGCAAATATAAATGTGAAAAATAGCTTTTTTAATTTTAAATCTTAAAATAATTTATTATGAAATAATTAAAAATGAATTAAAATAAATTGAAAAACAAGATAGTTATAGAAAGTATACAATTTTTGTTTTAATTCTATATTTTGTTGACTTTTTAACTTCATAAAATAATCACTAATTACTTATAATCATGAAAATATAATGAGATATTAGCTATTTAAATATTGCATAACAATCAAATATGTCTGAATGTATAAATGAATAAAGGGTGATTTATGTGTTAATTGTTAAGACATTCCCTATAAATGTAAGCAAAGCTATGTTAGCGAAATTATTTTATCACACAAAATTTAAATGCTTTCATGGTGAACAAAAATGTACAAATGACACAACATGAACATGAAACTTGATACATCAAGTACTTGAAATGATGTACTACATTCACATAAGTAATGTGTAAAGTTCCATTACATGTATTTCAATGGTTTCTCTGTTATGCAAGTTTTAAAGCCATTTATCTTGAAATTTGGTTGATCCACAAGTATCACATTTTAGTACTAGAATGTGAATGCACTCATTGCATTTATCACTTTTGGCTTTCCTAAGCTGGGATTGTGATATAGAGGAGATATCTGAAATCCATAGTTATCTGAGTCAGATGATATCTGATCTTGCTTTTACATCCAGAACAAAATCTTTTATTGAGATTTCAGTCAAGGATATTATACTTGCTTTTATTTGCAAGTCCAACCTTTTGGAAGCCTATTTGTGTTAGTACCCTTGTCTCATATTCAAATATTCTTTAGAAGTTAAAAACACATTTGGTATTTCATATCTATATATCCATTTTTCCCCCTAAAAGGAAAAAAGTCATTAACAATGTGATACTTCACTCATTCTGTTATTGCCATTGCTGCCATTTATTTCTTTATCAGAGCAAGTACTGCCTTTGTTACTGTCATTGCTTGCACTTCGTTGATATATTGGGTTTCCTCTATTAGTAGAAATATTTGAAGTTCCTGGAGTGCCTGGTGTTCCTGCACCACCAATGCCAACATATCTTCCCAGAGGACCATCACTTCTTACATTCATTTCACCCCTCATAAAGCGCTCCAGTTTATCAACACAAGCATCTTGATAATCATGAATCCATCTGTAAGATAAAACATAATTACTTTGTATATCTTACAAGAAGAATTTTTTGTAAAAAATATAAATTGTCAAGTTTTCTAGTAAAGTACATAATATGCATATATAAGGTTGAGTCATTATTAGAATCATTAGCTGCTTCTGATTTTATACACATTTAACCAACTACAGAAAACATATGCTAAGGTCAAACTCCTTCATATATAAAAGTTGACTGGAGGCTGCTTAACTATACAGTTAACAAAAGACATGATTATTGGTTTTTGAGCATGTTATTCCAAAATTTTGGATACATGATTCTATATATCTGTCATGAGAATAGAATGGACTAATGGCAAAATTTTGATGGAAAATGAATGTGTGAATGCATCATTGCCATAAATGAACAAGTCGCAATTCTGAAAGTTAATGAGGGCTGCAACTGTGGATGCCTCTATAAGTAAATGAACTACAGATCGAGTTTCCAGAAAAGAATTCAAGAGAACAGTTTATTGAATTTTGTTGTATGAAACTCTGCTGCTGACACCTAAACCCAGCACTGAAGCTCAAAAGGGTTCTTCATTAAAAGTGCCTGCAGTTTGTTCAATCACATAGAGAAAGGAATGGTAAAAATAACTTTTTTAGAAAATTAATTCTGTGATTGGTGCTCCACCTGAAGGGATGGACTGAGTGTACCTGACACAAAATTTCAAAACAATACCACCTGGAAATATAGGGCAGTGGAGGCTGGACCAGAGCTTAACAGTTAACAAGGCTTGGCAATACCTAATGTACTTTTCGGAATGTGTAACCTTTTCTCAACCTGTGTCTGTATAAAATGCACTTAATTTTAAAAATCTTACATAGTTTTAAAACCCTTATGGGCACATATATTGGTATGTATGCTACCAACTTGTGCGACAGTCACATACAAGTGTGGGCAGCAAGAGATTTGTAAAAACTCACAAAAATGACTCATACGGAAGTATTAAGAGGAGAATTATTATTAACCATTTGAAATTTTTAACAAATAATGTGGCATGTACAATGGACATTGCTCATTACAGGCAAGTATGAATTGAATTGAATTCATCAATTTTAAGAGGGTAAAGAATTTTTCATTATTCATGCTTTAGCATCATGGTGCTAAACCAGACTGTATGGATGCAAAAGAATCATGAAGTTTTAGAGTATTTAAGGCACCGAGTTTTGAGGGTAAATCCATATTTGGTGACAAGAGCTTGGATCTTACTATTCAGTTCATTAAGCATTTCTGGTAACTGAATATTTGTGGGTTGGAGAACAAATTCATGCATTTCTGCATTTGCCCTAGAATCCAGATCCTGCACAGTCGAATTTTTTTCTTTTTACAAAATTGAAATTTGCTACAAAAGGGTGTATATTTGATGATCTTGAAATGAAAAGGAATGTGGTGAGTCTTCAACCAACTTTGGATGACTTTGCACCTGCTTTTTGCATTGGAATAAATAATGCTATTGAAGAAATTGTTAGACTTTTGTGAGAAAGTGTATGGTTGATTTTTAATTCACCACTAATAAAGTTATTCTGTAAAAAAATTCTTTTTATTTGATTGTCATATTTTGTAGGTTCGAGAAACATGAATTTAGTTCATCTAAGTTTAGACATTGTGAAGCTAAGAAATACATCCTGAGGTTTTCTGAATATACACTAAACAGTTATGATTTTTGTAATGAAGAATCTTTTCAAGTTATTCCATGTATTATCAAAAATCACACAAAACACACACACACACACAATAATAACAACAACAAAAAAAAAAAAAAAAATTCCCACCTCCTCTTTCAATGAATTTTTTCCAGTAATAAAATATTTTTTAAATAATTTTTAACATACAATATTTTTGTATATTCAAACTATACACCAAGTACATAAAACTCTTTATGTGTCCTTTCTCTCACAATCACTGGTTGTAGACGTTTCTTCTAGTTATGAGAATGCTTTAAATAAAGAAAATATTCATGTTATGTTGTTTTGAAATTTAAAATCAATTTTGTAAAAATTAAAAAATGTAATGTTTTATATTTCCTCAAGTTTCTGTCTACCAAGTTATGTTTGGTAAAAGTTTATACTTATTCTAAAACACAGGCACATTATGTTTAAGTTCTCCTATAACAAAAATTGGTCATTGATAATCAGTGTTAAACTGTGAGATAATGTTAGTGGGTTGCACTAAACTGAACAGTAAAATGTCTGCAACTGTGCGTAATTAAAAATTAAATGTCAGTTAAAAAACATTACTTAATCTAATAGATTAAGTAAAACATTACTATGCAGAGTGTTGTAAAACATGCTGATAAATATATATTTATTTTCAAAAAACATATTATTCCCAGCATTTATTGCAGAGAACAGTGGCATTCTTCAATATTGGCACACAGCCTAGTCAATACATTATTTACATTAATAAATACTGAAAAGTATTTATGATTTAAGGAATCTTTTGTATGATCATTTAATAAAATGCCTAAAAATATTAATATTAGATTTTTAGAGACTGAAATTATTAATTACTTTAGAGAAAATTGTTTCAACATACCACATGTAACAAAATTATAAATTAAAGAAGCTACCTACTAGTAGATCACTAAAGATCATCACTGAATTGTATTATAAGGGGGAAAAATCAATCTTGAATTATATTATAAGGGGGGAAAATCAATCTTGAATTATTGTATTTATTTATTTATTTTTTTTTTTAACTGAAAGATTGCAAAAATGACAAATTTTGAAATTAAACATCCCGGTCAATTTGTGTCATATGGGAGGCATTGTGTTTTATTTCTTATGATAAATAAAAACATTTTTTGGCTCAGTAGCTCTTATATAACAGCTGAGCAGTTTGTAATTGATAATATTATTTGTAAACTAAGATCAGTTTGTTGGTAAACAGATTATATTTTTTCTGTTTTGCACATTAATCAAAATGCTAAAATCAAGCAATTAGTAATCTGAAAATTTTACACTGTGTTGAAGATTTCAACTTAAATGCTGTATTGGATATTTTATTATCCTTCTTCCTGAAGGTAGTATTAAAAGAGAAAATTAAATGGTATTTTTAACAAAATATAAAATATGAATGCATGAATTTCTAGCAGTAAGAAATGTATGATCATTATTTAATATTATAATGATAATAATAAAGGGACTGAAAAATTGTTACCTGACACCATTAAAGTAACAAACTGCTCTCATATCCTCAGGTAATGTCTCTGGTTCAGGCCATTGAAAATTATCTAATATTGGAATGATATTACATTGGCTTTGTAATGCTTCAACAATTTCCTGTAAAATTAGAAATATTGTTCAAATATTATAGGAAAGGTGCACAGGTAATATAGGCTGTTTAAAATAAATAATGCAAACATTTAATATATGGTATAACGTATTGAAATAATAATTTTTTTGTATATATTACATAATTGAAAATGAAACATAAATGTGCCAGCAAACAGCAACTTTGGAAGAATAAATGCAACACAACTACAACTACTAAGGCGACAAGTCAGTATATAATTCGAAAAAAAAAAAAAAAAAAAAGCCAATGACAGAAAGTACTGTATTTTCCTGCAGAAAGTCTTGCCAGAATTGCTGGAAGATGCTCCAGTAGATGCCTTCTGGCAGCATATATGTTCCAGTATGATAGAGCACTAATTGGGAACTGGCTGGATGTAACCTTTCTTAGCCACTGAAGTTTTTCTTTTTCAAAACGAATTAATTAATTTTAAGTAAGAAATTAGTACTTTATTTTTCAATTTTCTGTATCATTCTTATGTTTGATCTTAACTACTCAGCTTCACTATTCAGTGTCGTTTAATGATTTTACTTTTCATTTTTGACCATGCTTTTCATGACAAAAAATTACTCTTTGATTGTTTTTACCACCTCTTGAAGTCTGTCATATGTTTCTGAAACACCATATATATGTATGTCAGAAAATTTTAATAATACATCACAATGGTTTTAATGCTATTTCCATGTTACTGATTCTATTTAATTTCAACTATACTTCTAATACTGAAGATTATACAATTCTAATTTTTTGTATTTTTTGTTATTCTTTAATTAACACAATAATAATAATAATTTATAGTACAAAAATGACTCACTTTGTGTACCCAGTCTTTGCATTCAGTATCACCTATACATCTCTCAAGAGCATTAGGAGTAAGAACTAATAAGAAATGTTTGGCTTGACGAATGCTGTTCAGCAAATTATTATCAAATTTTCCGGCTTCTAGCCTTTCAACATCAATGAACACAGAAAAACCTCTCAATTGCAGATGAACTTTCAGCAAACTAAAAAAATAAAAAATGTATTTTAGTTTAATACATGGTACTGAACATTAATTACATAAATATTACTATCTTTATTGTCTATGATGCATGAACTAATAAATTTAGACTATACAGTAATGTAATTCCATTGCTTATTTAAACAGTCTTCATTCTTACTACAGTTTAAATGCCATTCATAATACAAAGTTTCTCAATTTTAGATTACCAATCCTCAAGATTCTCAACTTTAATAACTAAAAAAGCCATCTCTTCCTTTAAGCAGAGAGTGCTAGCATGTTTTGCTTTACTCAATTAAGCTAGTATCTTCTAAATTTTATAAACATGTGAGGACTCAAAAAAATTATAAAATCAAAAGTTCATAAGGAAGACTGCCTTTGAAAAGCTGCAAATTTTGTTTAATTTAAAAAACAGGTTACAAAAATCTGTCGCACATATAAATGTGAGTCCATTCTACATATTTTTTAAACATAAAAATAATCTTTTTTTTTTTTTAATTAGTAGTACAAAATAAATCTACGATAGTATACACAGAATTTCAAAAATTATTACAGTAATGTTCAACAGTTCCAAGTATATTGATTTAAGAACAGTTTTTACCTTTGCTATATTAATAACAAAATAATTGTCATGTGTCTAAAAATCATTATGAGTCTTAAAATATTCTAGTTGAAAGTGTTATCAGAACTGGTTTGGTTTGATTTGTAGGGTTCCTCACTCCTTTTATGTAAGATGGACATCGAGGAACCTAGTTTCAGAACAATTAAGACGTAAATTCAAGAAGGGTTAAAATACCTTTTTATTCACTCAAACAAGTAAACAACTTCCTGTAAGCCCGAGAAGTAACAGTCGGCCCCTTCTCGGGCTTACAGGAAGCCTCTACTCAGGCTTTAACTCAGAATAAGAAATAAGAAACTAAACTATAATTAAGTAAACAAGACTTAGCCGAAGCTAAACACAAGTATCTAACATAGTTGGCCCTTTAATTTAAACTAGCTGACGAATATCAAAAGACACATAATAATATGGCTGAGCGTAACAGCTTCAAGAGTGAGTTAGCCCGAAGACAAGCACGTGCTCCTGAGGATTCTTAGCACTCTCTATCGAAGTTTGTCGAATCTTCCTTAAATACTTCTTCTAACTTATTTGAATTCAATGCGATTCTAAAATCTCATTCTGGTAGGGAGTTGTAAGTGCAAAAAAGAATTTATAGGAAAGGGCTTTGAAATTAAAACAACTGTTATAAGATTAGAACACAACCTTACAGATTCATTCGATTATGGTAAAGAGGGCTATCTGCCTAAAGGAAGAGATTCTTTTTCATGAAGGATTTCTAAGGGAAACTGCTTTGTATCCACATTACACATGGGAAAAACCCCACACAGGTCGCCCATTCATGTGGAATTTGAACCAGGTTGAACTGCTAGTGTTCAGTTGTAAGGATCCTAAGTTTTACTAATGTTTATTTTATTTTAAAACTGTACTATCACTTCTTATTTTCTACTTCCGGCCAGAATTAAACGCTTTAACTTATTTATGCAAATTGTCTTGCTAACGCCAAGTACTTAAGTTGCGACTTTTTGCCAAGCAAGAGAGAGGAAGGAGTTATTGGAAGCAAGCCCCTTGCCACTGTAGTTTTACGAGTTTTCACTCTGTTGCTGGTTGCCTTCAAGGCCAGAGGTTTAGCCCTCTTGATAATTGCAGACGTATCGTAGTTTTAGCAGCTCGGCGTACTACATACGTACCTTTCTTTAAATAAAGGCCAATCTTAGTGCTAGGCAATTGTATACTAATTCAAAGTTAGTTTTAATAATCGAGTTTTAGTTAGTAGTTTTTATATTCTTATGTTCAGACCACAAGTGGTTGGTCTCTGTATTCCGAAGTTTCGGAAATTCCTGTAAAATATAGAAAATAAAGGGTTTCGTATACTCTTCCTGCTTGTATTGTCTACTTCACACATTCTTGAACATAGCTTGAGTAAGCTCCCTGTTCCTATTCAGGACCATTCATCTTTCCAAAGCTAGTCAAAAGAAACACTAGTCCTGATACAGTGACTTTACCTCTTGGCAAATGATGAGCCATTTTCAGAACCGATGAACAAAATTTAGATAATAGGTAAATCAATTATATTTTGCACTCATTTCATGAGCAATTAAAGGGTCAGAAAAGTTATTACCTACTCTATTATTACAACAAAAGGTAAAAAACTATGTGTAAAATTTTTTAATCATTATGATTTTTACTGAAAAATGTTTTCCAGCAAAACGTAAATTAATGGCAGCTTTCTTTATTTTACTTACCTGGCTAACTGTGAGCCATTTGACCGCCTATAACTCACGAAAACATCAAGGCTTTTTTGTTTATCTTCTTCCTCTTCAGCATCCTCACTCTGCTGAGCCAGATCTAAATTATGACATAATACGTAAGAATTGTCATTAAATACATCATTCCGTTAAATAGTAAAAACCAGTAAATTAGTTATTTACAACTGTGAGATTAAAATGCATTTAATAATACAAGATATACCACAGATCAAGTAGCAATAGGAATTTTATGGAATGTGATCCAAATAACGCTCCTTATTAGAAATACAGAGATCAAATTTATGGACTGGGAATGCTTAGTATTTTGTAAAGATCAACTTGTGTCTATAATTACCGTACATTTTCTCAAAAAAATTAAACAACAATTAGATTTTCAGTAGATCACAAATGTTAACTTCACTATTTATATGACTATTATATGTCTTTCGTATATTTATATGACTTTCGATGCACTGATTTCATCTAAGCTCCGCAAAATTAAAATAAATAAAATAGTATGAATATGTATGCGAAGTACAAGCAATTAATTCTCAAACATGAAAATCGAGGCTAAAGTTCTATGTAACAACTCATGTTATTTAAGTTCTTGCCGAGTTCTGGATTGACTTTGCTAACAATATATATATCTTTTCTTTTCTTTTTTTTTTAAACCAGTATTATTAATTCTTTTTTCTGCATTTTGAGGGAAAAAAGTATTAAGTAGTAAGAGGTAATGCGAAAAGTAAACAGTTAGACGTAACTTGGAAAATGACGTTGCACAAAAATATCATTGCATGGATATTTATTTTAATTTACTGTAATAACTATACAATTTTATCTGCAAATGATAGGATAATATTTGGTTAATCACAAATACATTTTTTAAGAATACTTTTACTTAAATTTCAGCAAAAAACACTTTTCATTAATATTCAGCAACCCCTCCCTCATGTATTGTTCAATCTTGTTAGATTAGATGAACTGTATTTCCTTTAACGCATCCTTCATTCTAGTACGTTTATGTTTCTCAATTTCCTTTTAATATTAGATAAATAATGAAACCCTTTTACTTATATTAAAGCCATGTGCAAAATGTTAATATAAACTATCAGAGTACGAAGTGAATATGGAAATCATTCGAGGACAAAAAGCAAAAGGGAGTGTGATATGAAATGAAGCAGATATCAAGAGTGATTAAATTTTGTTATTGTTGTGTCAATATTTTTAACTATTTTGTAATTTATAACGTCAAAAGAATTAATAATGTCAGTAACAAAATGCCATCCGAACCGGGGACTTCTGTTCCATAGCGCAACTATTGGGTTGTTGTGAGTGAAATGTCCAATAGGCATACGTCACTTCACATATTATGTAAATGAAATCAACAATACCTAGGAGAGGAGTCTCGGTCATCGTCATTGCATTTTCGCGTTGTTCTGCCATAAGTGGATTTGTTGGAGACATAAATTAGGAGATTATCAAGCAAAGAAGTTATCAGTTGCATGCTGGACCTCTTTGTCACGAGCAAATCTTTCTTTTTTTTGGGGGGGGTATAAAAAATGCTAAGAATGATAGAAGAAGCAGTAAAGGACTTCCTAGTACAATTCACTAAGAATTTGCATGTTCTTGTACGATCTTTCATATATGTGAGGGAGCATTATCATGCAACACGAAGGCATTCAGTTTTCTTTATCACTTTTGAATGCTTTAGGATAAGCTGATATTGTGTTTGGTACAGTTGAACGCTATAACGATCCCCTATGATAGTCTATCCCTGTTGGAAAAAGATGCAATGCATCATTTTAGCAATAGAGCGTCATAAAAAGAGCTACACCTTTGTGTGCTGAAGTGTTTCGCATGATGCTCTGATCATTGTTCATCAATGTTTGCTGATTGTTTATGATGGCTCTACTATAGATCATGTATGAAGATCTAACGTAAAACTGCTTCCGTATCCCCAGACAAAGTGAACTGCACATTTCAGAAGCCTAGTGTCAATTCATGTCGTATTCATATGTCCAGTGTTTCAACCTTACTGAAGGCGAGAAAGCATCAAATAGCGGTCACTTCATATATACCAAGGTTGTCTGCAAGAGCACCAACAATTTTCCGTAAATCAGCTTCGACTGATGACTTGATTCAGAAATTTCCCTGGAATTGATGTCAGTTGATGTTTACTGAGCTCATTTTCAAGTGCAGAATTGCCAACACGATATCTCCATGTACCACCAGCATATAGTATGTTCATTAACCATACTTGAGTCAAACGCAGTGTTCATAGTTCGAGTTAGTTATATCTGCTTATGGACTTGTTACCACAGCCTCAGGATTTGCAATGATATCGTGACATTGTACACATGATTTCAGTAGATTAATGCTTGCGGCCTGAAGGTTGTGTTTCTTCTGTACCTGCAATTGGACATTTCAATTGCATCCACCAGACACTTAATCGCAACGCAGTACGGGAATTCTAAAAGCAACTAAATTAAAATACACTCGTGCCCCAAAAATAAGCAACATACGCTAAAAGAAAAGGTACGAATGTAAAAAGGGGAAATAAAACATGCAATTTACAAATGCGGTAGAGGTTGCATCACCGAATGCAAATAGGCAACCAAAATTAGCATAAAACGCAATCCCGCACTCACACCGAAACGTCTTAAAATGGTGCATGCCAAACCTGTGCGTCAGTTTGCAAGCAGTGATAGTTCTGTGTAATCCAAGATATAGCCAATGCGGAAAGCATGAGCCAAAGATACCATTTGCACCATGAAATGCATCAGAGGGCTGTCAGAATGTTGCATACTGGTGCAAGACAATCCACTGTGGCGAGAGAGCTGAATGTGCATCATAGTGTCATCAATATGTTGTGGAATTGTTACCAAAGGGACAAAAACCCCTGTAGAAGACGTGGATTTGGCAGCTGGAGGGTTACCACAACGACAGATGATCGCCTTCTGTTGCTATGTGTAAAACACTGTAGATCATTAAAGCACCACAGCTGGAATTGCATCTCTGCTGCTGCTGCAGGACGGTCTATATTCCTCCAAACAGTTTCGCTTCAAATGCACGAAAGTTGCCTCTACGCACGATGACATGCAGTTTCCGTTCTTTTGTCCCCATCCCATGTCAGGGAGCGGTTGAATTGGGTCCGTGAACATCGCAGTTGGACACCAGGGCAGTTTGAGTCTATTAAAATTCAAAATGGTATGCGACCAATTAGTAATATTGATTTAAACCAGTTTTTAACTGGGCATGGAAGATTTCCCGCGTACCTCTCGAGATTTAATTTACAAAATTCAGACTTGTGTGGTCATTGCCATCAAGTTGGTAACGCAGATCACTTCTTGAATCATTGTTCCTTATTGGAAAATTTGAGAAAGAAATGTTTGGGAGATAAGTCATGGAACTTGGAAATCTTAAAAACATATTCTAAATGTGCAATGGATTTGATTAATTCTAATAGAGTTGAATTTGGAATATTTGTTTAGTATTGTGTATATTTATCTTTTGATTATATGTATTATATTCTCAGTTATGAGTATTTATAGGTTTACTATATTTGAATTGAAAATTTTGAAATTTTTCTGTGTACTGTTTTATTTAATGCATTGTGGATGTTTTGTACATGCAGTATTTCGAGGAGATGCAGTTGATTGTTACATAGATATGGCCTTGCAAATGTTGAGAATCCTGATGGATTACCCGATTTAAATTATCGAAATTAATGGTGGTTTTGAGTTTTAGGATTTTTATTTTTAAATTTTAAATTTTATGGAATTTTTATATTTTTTCTTAAATTTTAATTGTAGTTTTTGATTTTAAAATGTTCTGAAATTTTAAAGTTTTAAAATTTTTCTTATATTCTGTTCTTAATGGAGTAATTACTAAAGTTTTAATATGATACATGGCAATCTTAAATTTTTCCAGTTTTTGGTTATTGGCAGTCCTGGAGCTTCTTTTCTATGATTATTAAAGATAATTAATACATTTGAATTCAGATAGTGATAACACTATTAAAGTAAATTTTTAAAATAAATTAATAGTTTAAATAGAATTATGAATATACAAATAATATGCTATTAAAGTAATACTGTAGGGAATTCGGTTTGACCTTCTGCAGGTTATTTAAATTGGGAATTCCTTGATGGCTTTGGAACGCCTATGCCTGTTCCGAAAATTCATGTGAATGAATATTTCTTGAGAGTTTCCGCCACTCTGTTTGCTCGTGGGGTTTTTAATTGTTTTTTGATTTTGAATGTTTGGTGTTGTGCTTCGTTGTTTGTAGGTCTCTTCCTTATTTTTAGTTCGTTAACATCCAATTATTTTTAGTTAATTAGCTTCTTTTTGTGTCTCTTCTTTCCTTTTGTGGTCTTGAGGGGGTTCACCCTTTATAATCATATGGTCCAGTGGGACTAGGAGGATTGGGTCTTCCCTGTATTATTATGATTATGACCAGGGCAGTGAAGCCACATACTCTTTATGAATGAGTCTCGATTTAACATCCAGAACGATTCACAAAGGGCAATGATATGGTTAGAGCCAGGGAACACTATCCGGCGCCAAATATCGTCGAAAGAAACCATTACAGAGGAGGAGGCTTACTTGTATGGACTGGGATATTATGAGCGGCCGCATCGACATCTACGTGATTCCTGATGGTTCCGTGACTACCGTGCAATATCACGACGAAATTCTACACCCTCTGGTGCATCCTTTTATTGCTGCAATGGTTACCGACTGGATATTTATGGACGATAACGACCACCCGCATAGAGCTCGAGTGGTGCGGAGTTACTTGGAGAATGAAACCATTTCACATCTGCCGTGGCCTGCTAAGTCACCGGACCTGAATCCCATACAGCATATATGGGATATGTTGGGACGACGGATAACAGGTCACAGTGTGCCGTCAGGCAACCTCCACAAGCTTCAGCATGCATTACTGCAGGAATGGGCGCTACTGCCACAACAAGCAATAAATAACACCATTGCCAGATTGTGTCGCCATTGTCAAGCCTACATTTCAGCTAGAGGCTATCATACAGGCGCGTAGCCAGGGGTAGTGCCCTGGGCGCCCGGGCACCCTCCCGCTTCATA